CCCCAATACGTACATCAACGTACAAGTCCCATAAAATTCCATAAGCATGAAATCTCATTATATATATTTTTAATATTGCAAGCATGGCTAAATATCCACCATTAAAAAATAGTACAGGAAATGTTTGCTTCGTATTTTTATAATTATAGATCTTGGAAGAGCTGGCAAGGGAAGCATTAAAGGGATCCTAGAGAAAACTATAGAAGCAGGAAGAGGAAGTGAACATTAAGCACGGATCACATAATATGAGATTTGAAGTAAAATATCAAAACTATGAAAGTACTGGCCTGATATAAATAAGCAAAAATAAACCAAAAATGTGAAAAATCATTTTTTTAAAGAGAATGATAAAAGTGTTTAAAGAGAATGATAAAAGTGTCTGTATAAAGCATAAAATGCATAAACATAAATATATATGATAGATAGATATATAAATATATAGATATTTAGATAAATGGATGTAAAGATAGATAGATAGATATATAAATATATAGATATTTAGATATATGGATGTAAAGGTAAATAGATGGATATATAAATATATAGATATTTAGATATATGGATGTAAAGGTAAATAGATGGATATATAAATATATAGATATTTAGATATATGGATTTAAAGATAGATAGATAGATATACAGGATAAACCACAAACAATATTTGTCCTACAAGAAATAAGCTATATTTGTCCTACAAGAAATAAACTATATTTGTCCTACAAGAAATAAGCTATATTTGTCCTACAAGAAATAAGTTATATTTGTCCTACAAGAAATAAGCTATATTTGTCCTACATGAAATAAGCTATATTTGTCCTACAAGAAATAAGCTATATTTGTCCTACAAGAAATAAGCTATATTTGTCCTACAAGAAATAAGTTATATTTGTCCTACAAGAAATAAGCTATATTTGTCCTACATGAAATAAGCTATATTTGTCCTACAAGAAATAAGCTATATTTGTCCTACAAGAAATAAGCTATATTTGTCCTACAAGAAAGCCTGATTGCAAGAAAAAGGACTAATCAAAATCCGTACAATCGTCTCTGAAGTCTCATCCCTGTATATAAATATATATATATAGATAGCTAGATAGCAAGATAGATAGTACTGAAGGTTTGAGAACTGAAGGTAAAGATGACAATCAAATTCTAAAAGCCTGACTTTCTTCCCAGCATCCCACCATGCATTCTCCCTTCAAGTGCAATGCCCTGTAGCCGGGAATAAGTCGTGTTGTAAAAAAACAAAAACCAAGAAGGAAAGAATTACCTAGGATCTCAGGGAATAGTTTAGACAGGGGGGTTGGAGTAGTAGGGGCAGGAAGAGGGGAGGAAAAGGGGGAGTAAGTGAGAGGGGGAAGAGGGGAGGGAAAGGGGGAGTAAGTGAGGGAAGGAAGAGAAGGAAAAAAAGAAAAATACGGACAGCGAGGAGAGGGAAAAAGAAACAGAAGGAAGAGTAGAAATGGACAGGGAAGGAAAAGTAGAAGATTGAAGGGGAAGAAAAGGCAAGGGAGAAACTGGGAAAGAGAAGGAAGGGGATTGGAGAAAAAAGAATAGATGTGCTAAAGCCAGGGGGGAGGACGCTACTGGGAAAATAGAAAGAAGTAGAAAAAGAAGGAGACAGGAAAGATTAAAAAAGGAAAGAGACAGGAAAGAGCGCGGTGTGGGGGGGAGGGAGGGTGGAGGAAATATAGAGAAACACAGGAAATGCAATAAAACAATTTTGCAAAGAAGTTAAAAAAATACAGAAAAATGCAGGGAAAAATACTTCTTGAGAAGATGAAAGTATGAGAACATAAGTTTGGGAAATTGACAAGAGAGGGAAGAGAGGGGGCAACAAAAAGAAAATGCTAGAAAGTAAGTTCTTGTAGTGTAGAGGAAGAAGGAAGGCATGAAACTTCAAATAGTTGTAAGTTCATTGATCTGAGAATGACTTATCATTTATATTTTTTCCACCATCTGCCGTTCTATTACCTACTCTTTCCTCCTTAGTACATATTATACCTCTTCCATTCCCCTTATTAGATCAACACAAACTGACTATAATTATTTTTAATATAATGTAAACAAACGTATTTAAACAATTGATTTAATTTCTATATAGAAAGCTGATAACCTATACTCTCTGCCCATATTATGAATGTTGATATAAATTATATGTATATATAAATATTTCGGGGGCATTTTATCAGCTTAAATCTTAATTTTTTATAATTTTCTTCCCGGAATATCAGATGTTATATTATATCATGTTTTTCTAAAAATGTTAATTAAGCCAATACGAACCATTGCACTTGAATTATTTCGTCATTGAGTTTTAAAAAAGTACGAATTCTGAACTCAGTTAAACAATTTATACAGCGTGGCGCATACAAAGGGTGTATTTTCAGTAAATATGCAATTATATTAAATAATGATTTAATTGAATAATTTACGTAACAACAGGATATATGTCATTATACAGGATTTAACTTACAAACACAACCTCGCACAAACTACAGATTTAAGAAATGAAACAAAGCTGTCTCTATCTTTGCAACCTGATATCGTAGACATGTAATATTTCAATTAGTTGTTCTGCTGGATCAAAGTATTAACCATCGATGATATTACTTAGAAAAGAAACATATATATCTCTATTTATAACAAATGTTTACTGCATTACTGCAAGGATATAAAACAAAACTCCTCCCTGTAACTAAAGTTTTTATGAACAAAGATATTATAACAAATAATGAAGAGTCTGAGTGGGAATCCCAAAATATGCTGAATGAGGTCATTCACCCAATCAAGAAATACGTAATATAAAACTACGTTATCAAATTTAATACGGTGCAGAGAAAATAAACTACAGACTGTCTTAACGTTTTAAAATCAAACCCAAAATCAGATCTTTTGTTCTTGATATCGAGATCATACACTGATCTCCATCTTATGCAGACCTAATTAATTTGATTCCTCTCTGATAATCAGTTATGGTCACACCCTACAGAGATAACTTTAATTGAGGTATCAAGCATTAATCCAAGAATTTTAAAGTGCTCCCAATGGATATCGACATCAAGCATTAATAAAAATTAAAGATACCCTAAGCAGAAGTTCTGACTTCAGGGTCTAATATTACTGTATAGAATTGGAACGATTTAATAGCTATCTGTATAATAAACAACATCAAAGTAGCAAATATATCTTTATGTTTGTTTAATTACTATAAAATATCAATACTCAAGAATCTGATTTTTACATCTGAGTCTTTGGAGACGTATTTTTAGAAAACACTTGTACGTTTACTTAGAAAGTTACCAATTGCAAAGTAAAAGAAGAGAGATTAAGAATACCAGAAGAGAGCTAAATAATATAGTTGACATAATATACATATTGGTTAAAAATGGAACTTCAAAACGATACAACCAGGATAAATTTCAGTTCTTTAATAACAAGATTGTTTACCTAAAACTGGTTCTGGTAGAACACTCTCAACATCTACTGTACTATCACTGGGTAAATTAAATCCAAAATCACTTAATTGGAGTTGTTTACATTGTACTTCAAGGGAGGAGGTCGTCTTAAGGTTGTCCTCTGTTACCCTGGGGAATATGTTGAACCCCTTGAACTCCTCGAGGAGCTCCTCCTGCTGGTGGACCAGCTCCTGCTGGAGTAAGAATATGCGTGGCATGATGTGTGTGATGTTCCCCCTACGCGAGCTCCTCCATGATTGATCAAATCTTCAAGTTTCTCGCGTCGAAGTCTCCGGTGCCGGGCCCAGCTACAGTTCACCTGTATCCCGCAACACACAACATATGACATGGAGAGTAGGGAATAAGCTAAACTTTGTATTATTATGAAAAGGTATTAGATCGATTTTTAAGCAACAATAAATGTATTATTATTTTAGTTGTTAGCCGAATTCTATACAATTCGGAGGTAGAGTCAAGGAACTAAATAAATACTAATGTTTTGATTTTAAAAATCCAGGTTAATCTGGACTTTTCCTTTCTTACACTGCCTTCAGAAACCTTAGAGGTGAATGCACCCCTTGTCACGTCTTGCGCCATCTTCACAACAGAGAGAGAGAGAGTGTAACCATCCTGCAACCATATTTAAACAGTAACCATCCTGCATCCATATTTAGACAGTAATCATCCTGCAACCATATTTAAACAGTAACCATCCTCGAACCACATTTAGACAGTAACCATCCTGCATCCATATTTAAACAGTAATCATCCTGCATCCATATTTAGACAGTAACCATCCTGCAACCATATTTAGACAGTAACCATCCTGCAACCATATTTAAACAGTAATCATCCTGCATCCATATTTAGACAGTAACCATCCTGCAACCATATTTAAACAGTAACCATCCTGCATCCATATTTAGACAGTAATCATCCTGCAACCATATTTAAACAGTAACCATCCTGCATCCATATTTAGACAGTAATCATCCTGCAACCATGTTTAGACATTAACCATCCAGCAACCATGATTTAGACAGTAATCATCCTGCAACCATGTTTAGCCAGTAATCATCCTACAACCATATTTAGACAGTAGCCATCCTGCAACCATGTTTAGACATTAACCATCCTGCAACCATGCTTAGACAGTAACCATCCTGCAACCATGTTTAGACAGTAACAATCCTGCAACCATGTTTAGACCGTAACCATCCTACAACCATGTTTAGATAGTAACCATCCTGCATCCATGTTTAAACAGTAACAATCCTACAACCATGTTTAGACAGTAACCATCCTGAAACCATGTTTAGACAGTAACGATCCTACAACCATGTTTAGACTGTAACCATCCTGCAACCATATTTAGACAGTAACCATCTTGCAGCCATATTTAGAACAACTAACAAGTATATCATATATATTTATATTATATAATATACATATCATTATTTTATATTAATGTTTATATAATTTACTACTTTCGCCCACATTGACCAAATTTAGAGCGGTGCTGTGAAAATTTGTATTCTTGATTTATTCTGATTTTACAGAAAACCGGTATTTTTTAGTTCCTTTCAAATATATTGTCAAGTACTTGATAATCTATAATTTGGTTCCTTTAAACTTATTTAACTTCCTGTAATATTATTTATTTCATTTTTTAATATAATTTGCATTCGCATTTACTCTGTTTTCACAGATATTCTTAATTCCTTTTAATAGAATTCATGAAATAATATTATTTGAATCACCCTTTTTTTAATTTTTTAGACAAAAAGGCCAAATTTTGATGTAAAACTAAAGAAACATTTTTTATATAAGTAAGTAATTTAATTTGAACATGATTGTGTAGTCTAATACCATCAATGCATAATATATTTCTAGGTGGTAAAGTACATTGCGAGTAAACCATCGAAATAAGAAAAATTACTCACCAGGCCTAATAATGTGTTTTTAAGCAACGGCAAGAATATTTCAGGGCAAAATACATATTTCTATCCTGGATACATTTTTTTGGGTGCTTATAATTAAGAAAGTAAATAATCCCAAAAAACAGAATTTATGTTTCAAAAAAAAAATTGCATTTTTCTCCTGAAATGCAGTCTGCTGTGTTTTGAGTGGGTTATTATGTAAGTTCAACGCCCGGAAAAAAAGTATATTTAATTTTTTTCTCCAAAAATAATTTTATTTTCAAAAATATCAATTTGGTAGAGAAACTGACCTAAACTATTGTAATAGGGTAATTATTCAACCCTGTATAACAGGCCTAGGCCTACAGCGCTATGACAGATAGATAGATAAACTGATTAATTGATAGAATGAAAAATAGATTGATAGATAGAAAGAAAGATTGATAGATAGATATATTAATGTATTTTACTAAATTAAAATGAAAAACTATTAAAGATGAATTTTAACGTAAGTATTGTACAAACGAATATAGATAGTTACTAGTTTATTTTCTGTTCTGCACAAAAAAAAAATGTGTAAGTTCTTATATTATGGGACAGTAAAATAAATGGACATCCCAATTTTGGAGGAGTCATGGATCGGTAATTTTGGTAAGTTTTAAACTTGAAATTTGAATTCTTTTTCCTTTCCGAAGTATTCGTTTTTATAAAGTATTTATTTCACGATTTGAACTGTAACTTATAACTCTAGCAAGTTACTTTCCAACGGCCCTTTTCAATTCATTGTCCTGTAGAAAATACAGAAATCACTATATTTGTTAACCTGAACATACCTATATATGTTACGTTGTACATTGTCTGTAAATCCAAATGCGCTTATCATTAACAACGCAAAACTTGTAAAGCGATTAATCTAGCCTAGCTACGTCTGTAAAATGTAAATACGTCAAAACCTGTATTGTGATTAACTTATAATAGTTTAACGAGTTGTACCTGGACTGCTACGATTCTGATAGCAGTTTTAAGAGTACGGCATTTACTACAGACAAACTTTTCAAACCCATTAATAAGTGTCATAAACCATTTAAAAATAAACAAGCAATGGTTCCCTGAAAACATTAATGTAAGTCATATTTTTCCCTTGTCTCTGCAGTATAAATCCTCTAGTCATTTCTATAGAGAAACTGCAGTAGAAAATGATTGGGTCGAAAAACTAGAATATAATTAAATAGAAGATTAAAGAGTACTCTTACAAAATTAATAATTCAACTCTTAATAAAATTGAAGGGTTACTAAAACATATGTCGGAAGCTCGACAAATAAGACATTTTTTATCAATTTTTAGAAAGAAGAGATTGTGCTACATACTTGCTGGCAAGTTGCACCTTGATATAACAAAAATAAGATACCATTTAACAATATCTGTCCTATTTCATTTCAAATCTTAAACTAGATTTATTTTACTGCTATACACATATTAATATATCAAGTAAATTAAAAATATTTTTTTCCAGGAATTTTAAATACTGTGTAGATAATTGTTTAATGATATATTATTTAATTGCAATGAAAAAAGGTAACTTTTAAGTTTTTTAAGTGGAATTCTTTGTTTCATGTAACATCAAATTCAAGTTCAGGGGCGCCCTGCTCCCTGCAACCCCCCGCCTCATTCTACTCGGTGCCCCCCCCCCCCCTAAAAATAGACCCAGTAATGGACCTGAAAATTATAATTTCTGTTTGTTTGTATGTATGACTGATCATATTTTATGACAGATTACATTAATTCTTGAATAAGTAACCTTAATAAAATATTTACTTAGATTGGTTTGAAAGTTGTTTAGATATTCAGCCAAAGCTGAGTTCCCAAGCTAGTATTTAATTTGTACGGATATTTATTAAGAGCTGTACTTAAAGCATCATCATTTAAAATTATTAAATACATCTTAATCTCAAGGATGTATATTGAAAAATATGCAAAAATATATTTTACTGACAATTTTAATGAACTATTAGGGGGGGGGGATGACTGATTATTATTAACTATATTTTGATGAAGTTGTGCAAGCAGCACAAAAAAAATGTTGTACAGGGTGTCCCACGAAACATCACAGTTTGCGAATAGTTTTGAATGTCTTCTTCCATTTACTGTATTATATTTCAAAGACATTTCGCAGTTTAGTTCATTAAAAAAATCTTTTACTCAAATATGTTTTACTTTTATATCAAAAAATTGAGTTTTGCAACCAGTGGCCGAATTTAAAGAATTTGAGCGGCGGTTTAAATTTAAGCCGCGGCTTAAATATGGTTGGTTCCACTTAAAATTGTATCAAATGTTTCAAGATTTAAGCCGGTGCTTAATTTAAACCGGGTTTTGGCTGATTTAAACCGCAGCTCAAATTCTTTAAATTCCATCTCAGATGGTATAAACCGATAATATTTCCAACTTAGACTATTTGATCTAACAGAATTCATAGTTTGAAATATCAAAGGTTTACGACATTGTGTTGCTAAGATACAGGGAAGAAACAGTTAGCTTTTGTGGCAAAAACTCATTTCCTTTACTATTTTATTAATGCCATATTTTTCATTATTCTTTTTGGTACAGTGAAACCCTTAATAACGAATACATCGAAAGAATTCATCAAATTTCGTATTCTTCACTCTCTGATTATGGAATGTTGCAGATATCTAGTTTTTTAATTAAATGATTATAAGAAACTCTTTAAAACTGTTCTCGCATATTCATGGCTATTTATTTATTTTCGCAGATACTTAAATTTACGTAATATAAAACTCATTGAAAAATTGTCAAGGCGACATTTGATAAGTTCTTCCGATTTATTTGTTATTAAGGGTTTCACTGTATCAAAAAACAAATTATGGAAGAAGACATTTAAATCTATTTACCAACTCTCATGTTTCGTGGGACACCCTGTACGCTGTTTACGGTGTACTAGAACTATCGGGTAAAATGACATATTATAGTTAAAAAACTGTTGATTTCTAGCCGAACTTATATATGTAGAGGGAACGAGTCCTTCCTTCACCTTCCCATTTTCTGTACCCGTCCGGCGTCCCTGCCTTCCTTTTCCATACCCATTCTTCCTCTTTCCCTCCCTACCTTTACCCTTCTCTTACCTTCCTTTTGCATACCCATTAGCTTCCCTACCCTTCTCCATTACTATCCTTTCCTTTTTTCCCTCTGTTTTCCCTTTCCCTTCTCGTTTTCAAGGTCTTTAATTTCTTTACCAAGAATTTTATAAAACTTTGATAAATGCTCCCAGGATTTAAATATTTACAATATTACGTATTTGATAAATTGATACAGACAGAAGAAAAAATTCGGAGTATTTATTTATTTTTGATGATTCTTGATTTCATTTTCAAACATATCCCTATTTTGAAACAATTACCGGATTTCAGCACAAAAAAATATAATTTTTCCTTTGAAACCATTACCCATATCCAGTATATATCAAATTTCGAAATTGCTTGAATTGGAGAAAAATTAATTTTAAGTTTAGCTGATTTTCTTCCGTCCTGTGGTAAAGAATATAGTTGGAGTAATTTAATATAAAAAGAGAATTGAAATCGAGGACATGAACATGTTGCGCTTTCGGAACAAATCCTGGTTTTGAGACAATTACCGGATTTCAGCACATGACCCGTTTTTGGAACATATCCTGATTTTGAGATAATTACCGGAATTCATATCAATGTCTATTTTCAAGTATTTACGCACTTATGAAACAAAACAAGATTTTTTGATAAGGTAAAATAGAAACAAAATAGAAAATAAAAACAGAACAATTTGTTCTTTTATAATTTAAAAATCATTACAGCATTTAGAATTCAAAATATTGATATCATTTGTTCTTACAATATAGATTTAACTAGAAATGCGGGAAACTGTTTGTTTAAAATGCTTGAAAAGAAATCAGTGATATTTTCTATTTTAACAGATAAAATGTGGAAACTTAGATTCTAGAAATAATTCAGAAGTTAATTTAGTCTTCATAAGACAATTTTTATTTTCAGTGATTTATTTTGAAGTTTTTTGATGTAAATTATGAATTTTTTTTGAAATAGAGGTTTCGTTTTCAAGTATTTGAATTAGGTATAAATCATAGATAAAGATAGATTGCGCATAAGACGACATTTCTTTACTTATCAGATATAAATGTATAAAATATATTCCAAACTTATAGATTACCATAATTTGATAAGTTGTTTAATACCAAAGACAACAATAAAAATATTATATAGGAGTCATATTATAGTAAAATTAATTTCAAGGTAAAATATTTGAGCAAATGATTATTTAAACGAATACACTGCAAACAGCCTTTAATATCTAATACAGCGAATGGAAGACGACATTCAAAACTATTTACCAACTGTCATGTTTCGTGGGACACCCTGTAGGTTGGTTGTGAACTTTGGCTGTTCTTATTTATTTATCTACGGTATAGAGTGAGGTACATCTGTGTCTGATTAATGATGATTGATTGATGAATAAATGTTGATATGGACCATGAATATGTGTCACAGTGTGCCTATTAAGATGTATGAATAAAAGTGCTAAAACGGTGGAGTATATGAGTGGTAAAGAAGTCGAGTTTAAGTCGACTAAAAAGTCGAGAACAAGAAGACTTGAAAACGACTTTAAGTCGACTAAAAAACGTCCAGACAAAATCTACTTAAAAGTCAACTTGAACTTGACTGACAACTGAAACTCGACTTAATCTCGACTTACTTAACTCGAGTTTAAAAGTTGACTTAAACTCGATTTTGCCGACTTGAAAAAACTCGCACAAAAGTGGTAAAAAATCCTAGCTTAAAGTCGATTTCTCTGGAACGACTTAAAAATGTTTCAGCCTGGGAGCTTTTATTTAGCTTAATAAAAATAAATGACAACATTCCATAATCGTTACAGTTCAAAAGTTTAAAGATTATCTAAACTTTAGTGACAAAAATGTTTTCTAAGCTTCATCTTTTAGTCTCTAACTATCCAAAAATAGAACCATTGTTAAAAATTATTTATTCAAAAAATAAAGAAAGTTTTAATAAATACAATCATAGGTGGACGACGACATTTTATAACGCTGTTTATGCATATTTGAAAGGGAATTTTTCATGAATATTTTTATGTAAATATATGCACGTCAAAAATGTGGATTGAATAACCTTAATGAAACCAAAGTTGTTTTCAAGCACGAAACATTAAGGTTGGGAAAGGTTTAAAATGTCTTCTTCCATAATTTGCCAAGTTGTTTAATACCAAAGAGAATATTGAAAAATATTATATGGCAGTAATAATATAGTAAAAATGATTTCAAACTAATTGAAGATATATTTGAGTAAAAAAAATGTTTAACGAAATGAACTGCTAAAAGTCTTTAATATATAAAAAAGTAAGTGGAAGAAGACATTCAAAACATTCATGTATTGCACAGCAAGAAGTAGTTAAATAAATCGTAAAGTTAAACTACTTCTGTAGAAAACTGTTTACCAGTCCAAAACTAAAGAACGAAAAGTTTTGACTTAATTATTCATTATTTTACACAACTTTTAACCTCGAACTTAAAATTCGCGCATTCTTTAGTTTTAGACTCAGGTACAAATTACAAAATCCTTTGCGGTATTTTGATTCAGAGCAATAGAAGACGACAATAATTATACTTTTTGGGTATAATGGTAAAATAAGCTAAAGGTGATTAACGCAATTTTAAATCAATGTATGTGTAATGTATAATTAAAAAAACTACATTATCCTCATTTGCAAAGTACAAATAATAATGCTCTAAATTATTTAGATAATTAGATTTTAGATAGTTTTTTGAACGCAAAATCACGAAAAAATATGCCCCCTCTTATCTATATAATCTCTTAGAGGGGGATCCAATCAGGGAATAGGAATAAATAGAAAGGAAATGGCGCTGGTCTGGCATGAGAAAGCCAGTCGCACTGCTTTGCAGACCAGTACTTTAAACTATCACACACTCTTTTGGTACAGACACACACACATGACGTTTCCGCCCCTTGAATCCAATGTTTAAACTTGTCGGAAAGATGGAAAATTCTCATGTTTTTTGGTGAACCCCCTGTTCATAAATAGAATATTCAGAATTTCTGAAGGTTCCTCCACAACCATGTTATTATCCTCCACACCTTGAATATAATTATATAATGACAGTTTATAGAAAGTATTTACACACACGATATAACAAGGTTGAAAAATACAGGGTGATCTTAATGGATTTTTTTTTTTGGGGGGGGGGTTGCCCCTTTATATGTAATATGGCTTAATTTGTACCATCTTAAGTAATTGTTTAAAAGAAAATGAATAGGTTTATTTACTACAAGGTGTCCTAATTTTGTTTAACTTTAAGAATTTTTATTAGTTTAGATACAGGCGTATAGGCTTTACTACTTCTCCCATTGTTGACAAAACTGCATAGTATCATATTTGTTTCTATTATTTTTTGTTGTTTATTTCTAGCTTTTCTGCAGGCAAACTGAGTTAAATCCCGTCAATTACACCCTCTCAAAATTTAAAGAAAAGATGTATACTCTTTAGGGTTTAGAATTTGTACACTATCAGTACAGTTGTATTCTGTCGTCAGTGTCAATTCAGTTTTTGTGTCCGACAAAATTATCAATAATAGTGATAATTTTAGAATAAAGTGCTTTTCTTACAGTAAAATAAGTGCAATTTTATGTGTTCTTTAGTTTCTTTTTTTACACTTTTTTATTTAATCTTGGAAAACATGCCAACTGTTGTGAGAAAATTTCGTTTTCCTTGTTGTATTAGACACTTGTGACGTCGTGTATAATTGCTTCATTTCTCTGTTGCCACCTATTGTACTTGATAAACTATTTGGTTGGTTATGTATTTTATATACCGCCTTTTTGACTAACACATATTATCCCACGATTCCCCTAATAGCGGGATATTGAGTCACTGAACGTCCCTTGGGGCCATTAAGTAAAATAATGACCCACTCTGCAAAGTTTTCGTGAAAAAAAGTTACGCTCCGGAATCTGGATAGTGGATACTTTGTAACCAAAATTGGTCTGAGTGATCCTAAAGAAAGTAAAATTCCCTTGAATTATCTGTGAAATAATTGTAAATAATTATATAATTCTAGAATTAAACTATCTGAAAAAACTAAAATTTTATTTTATATTTCATATTAAGCATCTGTTTAATGTATCCGGGACATTTTCTTAAATCTCGCATCTCACATACATCACAAACCGCCCAATATTTCAACTGCATTGAATTCAGGCAGTTACCAGGCAGTTACAGGCAGTCGCTTGAGCAGTCAGGTTCAACACAGGCCTCAGGTAGGTTTCTGGCAGTCAAATTATACAGATAAGATACAGTGAGTCACAAAATATACCTATATCTCTTACACACTCCATAAAGCTTTTTTTACTTTTTTTAACATTACAAATAAAACTATGATTTTTATTTCTAAGATTTTAGTTCATTGTCGAAAAATACTGACAATCCACCACCAATTTAAATTAAATATAATGTAAACAATAAATATGTAACTTTCCTTATCTTTTCCTTTCCTTTTCCTTTTATTTCTATTTTTATATTTTTTTAGAATTGGGGGAAATATTCCCACAACCTCTACTTTTAGAGGTTTTTACATATTTTCTCCTGAAACACTTAATTTTGTATGTTTTTGCTTTATTTCATAAAGGGCTACATAAAAGTATACATGTCTAGGGCTACATAAAAGTATACATGTCTAGGGCTACATAAAAGTAAGCATGTCTAGGGCTACTTAAAAGTGGAGTAAAATCAAAGTCAAAGGCGTTGCAACACTTCAAAGTCGACTATTCTTTAAAATTGATTCAAGTATTCATGTTAGTCTGGATCTATGTGTACACTGTTAAAGGAATTGAGTCTTTGGAACAAAATAAAATATTTAAAACTCAATATCTTTAGATTTCGATGTTGTAAACCTTTGATATTTCAAATTAAGATTATTTGATCTAACAGAATTCATAGTTTGAAATATCTAAGGTCTGAAACATTTGGTTCCAAAGATATAGTAATTAGAAAATCAGAGTTTGTGGCAAAAACTCAATTCCTTTACCTAAATTTCACACACAGTACATGTAAATGCAATACATGAATTATGAAACAGTACAGGGTACAAGAATTCAAAGTTATGACAGAAAACTGTAATCTTTCAATAATTTTACAATTTCATAAACGATAATTAAAAAGTTGAGATTCAATCAATGTATTTTCACCTGAAAAATTGTTGCTTGGGTTTGAGTTGCTCTCCCACGCTCTTAAAATGCATTCTAATACAAAAATGCGAAATGGAGAGAATTCCTTAACATTGTATAAGTTATCTAAACCAGTTTTATATAGATAAAAATTTTAAATATTGTAAATAAACACTTTCCAATATGCATAAATAATATATTGTAAATGTAAAATTACAGCAGCTACATGTAAATCTGTGGTCTTTCCTATTGATAAAATGTTCTTTTTTGCTTTAACATGCCCTAATATCGCAAAGATAAGCCGAAAACATTGTAGCTTGCCATTTGCCAAAATTGACTCCCCTGTTAAAATACAACTCATTTGAAAAAAAAATGTTGTATATGTTTTCAGAAACACAATTTGTTTTTTTATTGTTTAAATAATTGTCCTTTTGTTAGAGAAGAAGGAGATATGACCATATAAGGAGAACTACTCGCTGGGATAAAATCATTTCAAATCGACTTTTTCACAAATATTTTAATCTAAAGGTTGGCGCCAGTCCCTTCAAAGCCCTTTTAGGTCTGTGATCAGGCCATGTATTGACCATTGAAATAGGGCACTTTTATTGTACATTTAAGGGAGGTTTCAATCAAGAGAAGGGGGGGGGGGACTGAATGCAGTTATATTGTTAATGCCAGTTCATGGTGCATCTACCATAATTTTGCAGTGGCACCTTTCTTACATACGCTACTTGTTTGCATAACCTTGACATTCGGAGCGCTTGGCGCCTATCCTGATTTGATGTATCTACTTTCTACCCAATCTATGGTTTTCACCAATTATTTGTTAGGTTGATCAAATCTAAACGTTGACAGGTTGCCACAATCTGTTGAATTCTGTTGCAATTGCCGGGTCACCCACAAAGGATAAGACTTCAAAGACGACTGTCCGGAATTTATTAATCTAACGTTCACATTTAAAAAGTTTTGGGTCGTCTTTTTATTTTTTGTGGGTAACCCTAAATATCTCTTTGTGGCACTTAAAGCACTGCAGTGGCCCCCCCTTCTCTGAGGTTAACATCCCTTCTGTGGCGCCTAAATCCCATTTGGATGGCGCCAAAGAATGCAGTGAATACTGACAGTACACAGAGATTATATAGGCTTAATATTGGCTTTAGTATACCTCAAGGCCGTTCTAGTCATGCTCTTGGGGTATCTATCTATATAATTATATATATAGAACCATCTATCTATCTATCTATATCTATTAGCGCAAACCTTGTTAATAATCTATCTATCCATACGTCAACTTGTATTTTTATCTTTATGCTCCTTTGATAGATCTCATAGGCTATATGTTGAGAGGGTAGGCTATATGTTGAGAGGGTAGGCTAGGGGTAGAGAGAGTAGGCTAGGGATTTTGAGGGTAGGCTAGGGGTAGAAAGGGTAAGCTATATGTTGAGAGGGTAGGCTAGGGGCAGAGAGGGTAGGCTAAGGATAGAGATGGTAGGCTAGTGGTAGAGAGGGTAGACTATGGGTAGAGAGAGTAGGCTAGGAATAAAGAGGGTAGGCTAGGGGCAGAGCGAGTACGCTAGGAATAAAGAGGGTAGTCTAGGGGCAGAGAGAGTAGGCTAGGAATAAAGAGGGTAGGCTAGGGGTAAAGAGAGTAGGCTAGGAATAAAAAGGGTAGGAGGCTAAGGGTAGAGATGGTAAGCTAGCGGTAGAGAGGGTAAGTTAGGGTATAGAGGGTAGGCTAAGGGTAGAGAAAGATGCATATAATGATGATGGAAGGTCGTACTGTTCATCTGCATAGGTCTGGAATGCGGATACAGGATAAAGGATGCAGTATATGGGATACAGGACACAGGATAAAGAACAAAGAACAAAGGGTACATGATACAGAATACAGAATACAGAATATAAAATCAGAGTTATGGCAAAGACTCAATTCCTTAGTGTCAGGATCAATGATGCAGTTTATTGGATACAGGACACAGGATAAATTAAGAACTATGGACACAGGGTACATGATACAGAATACAGAATACAGAATATAAAATATAGGTTACAGGATACACGAAGGAAATGAGTCTTTGCCACAACTCTGATTTTATAATCCCTATATCAGGTGTCAATCATGCGATTAGAAAATTTGAGTTTGTGACAAAGACTCAATTCCTTTATTGTTAAAGATGAAAATGTGCTAAATTTGGTTCTGCTGCACTTGTAACTTTAAAATGACCATTTCTGAAAAAGCCTGCGTGGCGAGGCCAGGCTATAAATATAAAGTCTGAAGATAGAACAAGATATAGACAAACCAAACTAGGCAAACCGTTAGGTTAAATACATATGTGGGCAACAATACGCATTCCAATCCCCCCCCCCCCATCACATCAATTCATACGCATCTTCTTATCCCCCCTTTCATCCCCCCCCCTCCCCCTACATCTTGAGGCAAAAAGGTCAAAAAAGGGCAGCATCAAGCGTCAGTCGTATTGCGTAGCTTTAAACATTACCACGTTAACGCACTAATGCGTAATGTAATTTACATATACTTATCTAACGTCCCGTTTGCCAAACGATGGACGCATATAGACAAAGTCTGTATAGATATTGAACCAGCACATTGTGAACTAGACAGAATGAAAGGTCGAATTTAAAAACACAACATTGCTGGTCTAACTTTGTGACCTCGTAGCTTCTCTAGTTTTAATTTGACGCATAATAATAAGCTGATAACTTTATCTGGTTTCATACCAGCAGTTCAAAACATTTTTCTTCATCTCAATATCTCTTCAATAAGAGAAATTATTATCGAAATTATTAAAGATTTCAATCTGACCTGCAATTATTAGTGAAACAACAAACATGATTTATCATTTTAACAAACGTTATTTATCTATTTCAGGTCAAAAAGAGTTTTTAGCTCCAGAGCAGTTCTATCCAAGGAGGCTTTAGGAGGAAAACTAGAATTTTTGAAGCAATCGAGAATCAATCAATCAAGATGAGTTACACGATAGGTTCAAGAGCTATTATTCCTCTTTGGAACAAAATAAAATATTTAAAACTCAATATATAATGATAATAATAGGAATAATAATAAAAATAATTATAAAAATCATTATAACGTTTATAATAAACTCCAGGATGCAGTTGAGGCTGACATGGAAAGGTTCGAGGCCGCTGTTGCAGCCATGGAGAAGGAAATGGAGGACAGGTGAGGTTAACAATAATTAAACCTTTTTATCCATTAGGTGTAATAATTCGTCGTATCATCTGTTTAAACGTTTTTGTCATGGACTAAACACTTTTTTATGAAAGCTTTGGTTTCTGGATTTAGAATGCAAAACTTGACAAAGCCTACTTACATAATTAGAGACAGATCGGACATACTTACCTCTCCATTGTTTTGCGTGGGATATTATCATGGCTGAAAATACAAAAAATAGTATTTTGGAATTCCTGATTTACAAATCATCAAAATTTAAAACTATGTAAACTGAGAAAGGTATAAAGGGCAAATATTTAAATGCCATGAGATATTGACGGGGTTAAAACTTTATTACCATGTTTTAACCTCGTCCCTCTGGTTTATACGTGCCTGCCTTAGGCTGATTATAGTTAAATTCATAATTTTACGACTTGGTTTAAGCTGAGTTGATCTGTGTGAACCATTTTATGTTGATCTTTTGGAAATTAATATTATTCTTAATGAAAGTGACTGGATAGACATGGTAGTTGAGCTGAGAAAACTTTAGGATTCATTTGATCCAAATGAGACATTATTACGGTGTACAATTTTGTAGATTTGTATATTGTTTCACCAGTTGTTTTAGTCAGCATGATAGAACGTTTTTTACAATTATTTATTAATCCAGACAAAAATTCTAACAATAATTTTAAAGTAAACTAGTTGTTTTGGAACATAATTCTAATAATTCTAATAATTGAAAGAAAGGAAATCAATGATAGAATCAATTATTTCTTTATCGTCATTATATTGAACTCTTTGTCCGCTGAAAATATGTTTGCGGATTTCATTAATGTCGTCTTTTCGATTAAAGTTCCCGGAATTCTTCGAAAAACGTTTGTGAGCAAACGAACATTACAGAAACCGAACTGATAACTGAACTTGTACATTTGGGAAGTTGCCCTTGGGAAAGTACCTAACACCTAAAGTTTAACCTTACCCTGGATTAACCCAGGTGTTCGGTTTCTTCAATTTGGAATAAATGTTTGTTTTTATCTTTAATTCAACAATCTTCAACCTTACAGACCAGACATAGTTCACAGAGCTAGTTGTTCAGCTTTACTTTTTGATTGAAAACGCACCCGTCGACAAAAAGGTTAAAATTGAAAAAGCGGGAAAAGGTTTGTTGGTTAAACAAGGAACAAACTGTTAAATCATGACATATCTTAAATGAAACTTAACAATTTACAGCTTTATATAGTCTATATACTAAGAAAAATAAAAGTAGAATTCAACAAATTAACTTTATGCTCCAGACAACAATGAAAAATATATTTAGGATTAATGAAACATAACCATATGTCTTGCAGGATGGGTCCTCAGCGGCCCCGCCTTCCCGAGTGGGCGGTTCCAGATAATCAGAAGCATAACTGGCCAGCTCTTAGTGAGGATACTCAACCATTGAAAGGTGTTTATTAATCAGTCAAATACACAATCAATCAACTCAAAAGTTAATCAATTAATCAATCAAATTATATTGTATTGTATTAAATTGAAATGTTCAGAGCTCTACAGCCCATATTATCATATTCTGTGTGCACACATACAGGGTTGCCCACAAAAGGTTTGGCTTCAATGACGACCTAAAACTCTAATAATTAACCGATCTGCAAGCTAAATTTTGGTTCCTGCATTGCATATGGTTTTTAAGTGGTATCGTATCCGTATACTATAATGATTTGACAAAGAAAAAAGAACAAGTTCACAGCTCCAAGGAACCAAGAATGTGAAAACAAAGAATAATAAAATTCCACACAGTCGTCTCCATGAAGTCGCATTCTTTTTTTTAACCCTGCATAAGACGTTCAGCAATCTTTTGAGACCAGAGATGGAATTTAAAGAATTTAAGCCGCGGTTTAAATCCACCTAAATCCGCCAAAACCCGGTTTAAATTAAGCACCGGCTTAAATCTTGAAGCATTTGATACAATTTTAAGTGGAACCAACCGGCCATATCTAAACCGCGGCTTAAATTTAAACCGCCGCTTAAATTCATTAAATTCGGCCACAGATTAAATTAAAAGTAAGAAGTAGTTGAACTACGTAGACGTTGTTGAACCACTTCTCTTGTGCACCGGTTCAAATTGAAGGAAAGTGGTTCAATTTAGTACGCATAGTTCAACTTTTTTAAAAAGGTAGCTTCTTTATCCGAAAAATTAAATGCCAAAATATTTTATTTTTAGGTTTTACATCTCAAACCATCAAGGATACTGGAGATTCATGGACGGTAAGATTAAAAGAAAGATATTTGGAAAGATTTGAAGACAGGACTAACAGACAAAAAAACAACAGGTCTGACAGACAGAAAGGCAATAAGGCTGACAGACAGATGAACAACAAGATTGACAGACAGATGAACAACAAGATTGACAGACAGATGAACAACAAGACTGACAGACAGAGGGACAACAGGACTGACAGACAAAAAGACAACAAGACTGACAGACAGAGGGACAACAGGACTGACAGACAAAAAGACAACAAGACTGACAGACAGAGGGACAACAGGACTGACCGACATAAAGACAACAAGACTGACAGACAAAAAGACAGCAGAACTGACAGACACAAGGACGACAAAACTAACAGACAGATGAACAACAAGATGTACAAGCAAACATTTATTGGACACAAAGACAAAAACTGAGCAAATTTTTTTACATTATTAATAATTTAAAATTCTTGTTTAGCTTGAGGTAGATATCGGGGAGTATGATTCACAGGGGGTCAAACTTAGGTAAACATTCTTTAAATATTCAAACATAATTTTCTTAATATTTTTCTTAAAATTTTCGTTTCTGTATTTTTTGTTTATTTGATAACACTGTTGCAGTGTGTGTGGAGATACAATAATAATCCGTGCTGCCCGGTCAAACCTAGAGGTCAAACCCAACAATCAATCCAGGTAGGACCAGGTCAAACCTAGAGGTCAAACCCAACAATCAATCCAGGTAGGACCAGGTCAAACCTTGAAGTCAAACCCAACAATCAATCCAGGTAACACCAGGTCAAACCTAGAGTTCAAACCCAACAATCAATCCAGGTAACACCAGGCCAAACCTAGAGGTCAAACCCAACAATCAATCCAGGTAGGAACAGGTCAAACCTTGAGATCAAACCCAACAATCAATCCAGGTAGGACCAGGTCAAACCTAGAGATCAAACCCAACAATCAATCCAGGTAGGAACAGGTCAAACCTAGAGGTCAAACCCAACAATCAATCCAGGTAACACCAGGTCAAACCTTGAGGTCAAACCCAACAATCAATCCAGGTAGGACCAGGTGAAACCTAGAGATCAAACCCAAAAATCAATCCAGGTAGGACCAGGTCAAACCTAGAGGTCAAACCCAACAATCAATCCAGTTGGAACCAGGTCAAGCCTACAGGTCAGACCTAGCGATCAAAACCTAACAATTAATCCAAGTGGAAACAGGTCAAATCTAACAATCAAGGTGACATAATGATTTCACTTTAAAATAAACATCAGATTAAAAAAAGGTATAATAAAACTTATAAAGCTTTTTTAAATTGTATTTTATCCAATATGACCAAATTATTTGCAAGACGACCGTTCGCTAAAGAAATTGAGCAATTAGATTATTTTTATATAAGTTCAGTACATGTATAGAGTTGAAAACTAATGAATATGTATAATTGCATTACAAGTGTTGACTTGAAAACTAATAAATGTTTATATATAGTTTTAGTACAAGTATAGAGAGAAGGTTTAGCCTCCCACCGGGCTGTAACCCAGACAACCTGACTAGCAAGATTACAACAGACAATATACTTATTGTAAATTGTCCAAGGTATGTTCCTAACCCGGTATGCGCAAATGTGCAAATTCACAAATATAAAATTTGCACTATTATATTTTTTTCAATACAGTATTCTTTTTTATTCTTTTATATCATCTAAACGGTTCTAATCTATTCTATTATAATCTACTATAATCTATTCTATTCCATTCTATTATGATCTATTTTATTCTAAACTGTTCTTCTTTTCTAGTCCATTCGATTTCGTTTCTTTCTGTTTTATTTATTCTATTTTTTCTTTCAGTTTTTTATGTTTCAATTATATTTTATCCTAATTTACTTTAGTCTATTCTATTTTGTTCTGTTCTCGTCTATTTTTCTGTTTTAATTTAAACTGCAGTGGGAACCATAAAACTTTGGAATAGGAAGACGACATTTTATTAATCTGATGTGTTTTTTATGTTGTGATAAAGAAGATAACTTCACCATTAGCTTGAAAGCCAACTTATTAAGACTAAAATACAAGATTTTTGACCAAAAAACCTCTTTTATCATAAGTAATTATATTTTCAAATTAATCTCTGGATTTTAACACCTTTTGCTTCAAAGTATCGTATGTAGCAACAATGTTCAGCATCAGTTATCATTGTAATCTATATAAATAAGAAAGACAGTCATATATATGTTGCCTGTAGCCGACCAAATGGCTGGAAAGAATGGGCTCACATTTTTTGTGGACACTCCCGTATCTTATGTTCATTAAACTTTTATCATATATTGATTCTAATTTACAGATTTATGGCCCCACTGTGTTCTATACTAATCTATTTTTTCAGTTTAATTCTATTATATTCTATTATATTCTATTTATATTATATTTTATAATATTATATTATTTTCTATTATATTCTAGGAAGATGATGTTGACCGGCCCCTCATCGCGTGCTATAAAAACGAGCTACTACTAGACTGGAGTCTAGTATTCTCTTTTATATTTTATGTATATATAGATATATTTGTAATTATTTTAATATTAAGAAATATATATATTTGTGAAAACTGGACAGCTCTTCTTCAAAATTATTTAAAAAGTCATTGTCCAAATATTTTACGTATTCAATTTTATTTATAGAGAGTCATTGAGATAAAAGTACGTTGAAAAATATGAATTCTTTTAAAGGTTTTTTATCAGACCTGATGCATCTTGTGTACTTTCCTATCTGAGCTTATCTATTTAGGTCTACAGCTGGCTTTGTTTAGAAGGGGACCATTGCCTTTATGCTTATCCGATTTAGATAGCTTTAGAACCATAGTATTTCAAGGTCACATTTTAAATTAAATAAAAATCAATTTAATCGTTTTATTCATATTTATATAAAAAATGGGATGGTTTCAAAAATTTTATTTTATTACACAGTGAAAACAGAAAACAATTGAATAAGAAGACGACATTACTTCAATATTTATGCGTATTTAATGTTGTTACAAAGCAAATAGTTTTACTAGATACTTATCAAACCACGAATTAGGTGAAATGGGTCTGCTTATACACACATTTGTCTTATGTTCATTGGACTTTTAAAAGTCTAAAGTCGTCTTCCTATTTCGCAAAGTTTTCTGATTATCACTGTATTTTTAACATAACATTATTGAAGGAAATGTCGTCTTTATTTCGAATGGTCTTCTCTTGAAAGACTTAAATGCCAGTTTGAATCACAATAAATTAGGTATTTTTTACTCATTAGATGAGGGCCGCAGAACATTATAACATCATTTTTAATGTTATTGAGGCTCAGAATCTGTAAAAATCCTCAAACCTAAATGTATTATAGAAAAGAGAGTTTGTTTATAAGCACTTTTATTTAAAACAAAAATAATCAAGTTCCAAGGTCACATTCATTGCTCCCAATCATTTGTAACCCCCAGATACCTACAACTGGCAACCATAGACTCTCCTTGCTTGTCAACCTTTCCTCTCTTCATCATCATTCATTTGAATCAATCCATTTCAAGCTTCTTTCTTGTTGAGTAGAAAGCACGCACCCTTTCCTCCTACATCCGTCAGGTGGTCATAACTGCTTTACCAGATGTTGGCTTTAGATGATTTTGAAACCACAGGTTTGTGAAGAGTGTAGGAATCAAACCCCTGAATACCAATCTGGATACCAATGCAGTTTCTGGCTGCGGACAAGTGTGCTTAACTAAAGTGATCTAACGAGAATTGGTGTCACACACTCTCCACCACACCTCACAAACAATAATATTAATATTGCCTTTGACAAGCCTGTTAATAAACCATTAATAGACTAATTTTAAAACAGAGATCCAAATTTATCGTTAAATAAAAAGAGCTTAAGGTCGTCATTAAAGTCTCATCCTGTGTGGATCACTAAAGATGTTGAAATTTGCATGCATATCGAAAATTATAATTATATGAATTTAATCGTGTTTTAATCTATAATTCAACCATCTTTAAGCTTTAAGAGTTATCTTTTCTACACTTTTTCATTTAAACGTATGACGACAAAAAAAATACATAAAGGCAAAACTGTTAAATCATATCCGCGTTACTTCCGTTTTATACTCATTTTGACTGGAAAAGCAATAATTTTCGTGAACAGTTTACAATGTGTATGGTGTCTCTGAAAAACGTGTGTTTAAGCTTTTTCGCAACTTGACAAATTTTATTGTACAGGGTGTCCCAAAAAAACATGGGAATTCAGTGACGAATTCGATATCGTCTTTGTTATGAATTAGCATTGTAATACCTAATTTCAAAAGCCATAATATTATTATGTCTGCTAGAGTTTATTTAATGAAAAGGGTAAAAGACTGTAAAGATGTGTCTATAATGTCTCCGCAAGATGAACAGTGAATACGGACAAGTTTAATCTGTTTGTATACTGAAATTTTCTTGTTTTACTAAGTACAACCGTATGCAGTCAAAACATAAACAAACAAAATGTAAACATAGCAGACGAAACTCTTACAGATTATACAGCTTTCTCAGTAGGTATCACTATACTAAATCAAAGAATTATTTGAAAAGACGATATCGAATTCGTCACTGAATTCCCATGTTTTTTGGGACACCCTGTAATAAAAAGTGTTTCTCTAGAGTAAGTATAACAATGCCTGTAAAAATGGGAGGGTCGTCGATCAAACATTTTGCTCAAAAATTCCATTTAAACCTTCTAAAGTAGGACTAGTATTCGAAAATTAACTCGGTCTCTTTTCCAAAGATAAAAAAAATTCTAATAATTTTATTTTGCGTATGATACAACAGAATGAAATAAATTGCAAATTTTCAATGATAAAATTGGGATTTTTAAAAAGAAATGACAAAAAATTATGAATGATCTTTTTGAACATCATAGGAATCGGGACCGAGTAAATTTCGAATACATTGTGAAGGTTTTTCAGAGACACCTTGTACGCTGTACAGTGTACAGTACTATAAAAACACCATCAAAATAAGCATTTTTTGGGGTTTTATTAACATATCATGAGTTGGTTTTTTTTCTAAATAACTTAAAAACGGCTTAGATTAGAACGTTTCAAGTTGTGAACAAATGTTGCCAAATTTTTTTATGAATAAGAAATGAAAAACTTTTTTATTAACTAAGGTTCAGGGATTTATATATTTAAAAAGTGTGTCAGATGTTAATATTTGTCAAAATTAAAAATACGTTTTTTAACTTTTTTTTAAATCCTCCCTTGCACCCTACTATTAAAGTTAGAGGTCTAATGAGCAGACCTTGAAAAGTTGGACTAAGAAAATGCATCACACTCCCCTATCTCAACTCTAAGGGCAGAATCATAGGAGGGGAACACCCCCCCCCCCCAGCCCAGCCGGGATGGGGTTAAATTGAAATAAATATTTGTAAACCAGTCCTAAAAATTTAAAATGTTGGGGTTTTCCATTTGGCTATTATCTACTATCTAGAACCTTTTAAGAATGCGTGATAATTCGGCGTCAAACCTTATAGAAATCCAACGTATAGAAACTGCTACGTAAAACATTGTAGTGTAGCTTATCATTATCATTATCATAATTTCTATTTTTTTAACATACCGTAGACATTAAAGGAGAAAAATATGTACATTTGTACTGCTCTCTATTGTGTTTAAGGTCCCCCATGGGTTTTATTATGTACTGACAGCATAAATGAATGATTATATGGTTATGCATAAAATTGCGTGTTACTATTAATTATAGATATTTTATAAAAATGCTATCTACAGTTTTATTTTTAGAAGAAAAAAATCTTAAAAGTATAAAAAAAAAGTTCTCCAGTAATGCTAAAATGATTTCATAAAATTCTGTTTTACCATTTAAATAAAAGGATTTTATGAAAACTATATCTACAATTTACACTGATTATTTAATTTCTCAAAAATATAAAAAATGTTCTCCCGGAAAATACTCCATGTTGCTATACGTAGCGGTTTCTATACGTTGGATTTCTATAGGGTTTGACGCCGCTAATTCATTGTAAATAAAAACTTTTGTAAATTAAGAGAGGATCTTTCTCATATGATTTTCAAATTAATCTACCCAATTATAAATGCTACAGTTACACAGAGCTGGGTGTTTTAAGCTGGAAATAGTGTATGGGTCATTTCATATGAAATTAGTTCGGAATAATCGTCTCGTCAACTTTTTTCAGCATTTCACACTTTACTTTGCGTAGCATCTCAGGGGTATACAGACCATAGTATACAATACACCGATATATATATTTATGCGTCTCAATTGTCAAATTTTCATTTTTTCTTTTATCCATTGTAAATAATAGTAATAGTTTTAGTAAATTTGCTGGTATTTGATGATAAGAATTTTCTAAATATCGCCTGTTGAATTAGGAAGAAGAGAAATAATGTCGTCTTTTTCAACGCTCAAAGAGGGTTCCCACAAAACTTGACAGTAACGAGAAAACTCATAAAGGTCGTCTTTGATCTTTAAAATACTATTTATTCGTAAACCTTATTTTGAAACTATGATTCTAAAGATAATAACCACAAAATAACCCTAGTCCTGGAATTTCCAAAATGCGCTTTGTCATTTGTGTGCTTACATGTAGAATAAAACTAACGGAACCTCGCAAAGAAAACAAATAATGGGACCTAAAGAGTAATACCACTAACGGAACCTGCGAAAAAATAATCATACATAGAACCTCACAAAAAATGCAATTAAAAGAACTATACGTAAAGAATACCAAATCAATTTAGGTGCGCAACTAGACATTTTGTTAGGGGGGGGGGGGGGGCATGAAGAGGGAAATATTTCACGCGTAGTGCAAAAAAATGTTGCCCACCCCCCTATACATTTTTTATGGGGGGGGGGGCAAGAAAAATGTGTTTTATACTCAAACAATAAAAAACTAACCTTACCAACAGGATATTCAGTAAGTCAGATCTAATATAAAATAAAATAAAAAAAATCTTTTCTGTTTAATATAAATCACAATATTAATTAATTTACAATTTATATATAAACATATTCATTATTCATCCATAAATCAAATATGTGCATTGTACTCAGATACTGAATTAAATGTCTTTCATTTAAAAATCATGATTTTACATGAAAAATATTTTTTTTTATAATATGACACATCACACAATACTAGCGGTGAACATGTAGGATTAATTTAATAGTTGTACTACGTAATAAAGCAGTTTCATAATAAGTGGCAGAACTGAGAGTGAAAATATCTAAAAATACTTAATAAACCCCCTTTTATTTAACGATCAGAGCTCTTAAATTTGCTCAGGGTCAGGATTCATGAATCGATAAATTGCAAAACAGGGCGGACTTCTTGCCCCCCCCCCCTAAAGGGCAAAGTGAATAAATACTAAAGTGGAACAGACTAAGGCAACGACGACAGGTTGGGCCATAAGGTTTTATTTGGTTTGGAAATAATTGCATAAACAGATTTCTTTTGGAAAGTAAAGACTAAAGACCCATGTAAATGTCGTCTTTAGTTAGAACTTAAATTTTCATAATTAAAAATCAAACATTTTTGTATGTTTGTATGTATTTTATACATACT